CACCCTCCATGCGTCGACTCAACAAACACCATTCTTTTCCAACTATGGGTATCATCCAAAGCTTGATTTATTGACTCCGTCAACAAATAACAATCCAGCAGCTGCAGGATTTGCGAAGCAACTATCAGAGCTTCAAACTATATTGAAGCTTCAATTACAATCCGCTCAAGAATCCTATAAGACATCTGCAGATAGATTTCGGAATCCAGCACCTACTTTCAAAGTTGGAGACAAAGCCTGGCTTCTTCGACGAAATATCAAGACTAAGCGACCATGTGATAAGTTGGATTATCGAAGATTGGGACCATTTATCATCCAGAAGCAAATTAATCCAGTGGCATATCGACTGGAGTTACCGGTTTCTATGAAGGTACATCCAGTCTTTCATGTTTCTCTGTTGGAACTTTATCGAGAGTCATCTTTTCCTGGAAGAGTGCAATGTCCGCCACCTAGTATTGAAATCGAGAACCACGAAGAATACGAGGTTGAAAAGATATTGGATTCACGGCGAAGGTGGGGAAAGTTAGAATATCTTGTTCATTGGTGCGGCTATGACATTAATGAGCGAAAGTGGGAGCCAGCTGAAAATCTTGCGAATGCGCCACAAAAGGTACAGGAGTTTCATCAACGACATCCCGATAAACCTAAATCAATTCGATGATAGCTTCTTTCTGAAGCTTGTTCTCCCAACAATATAAGAAAAGGGGAGAGCACCAATAAAATTCATAGTTGATGTAGTTGTTTTCTCCAAGATAGATCGTAGTTTGGTCTTTTGATATGGATAGCCAAGAGATAGATACTATGCCAGTCAGAGTATCACAACCGAGTAGCTCACGAAGGCGACCCCGAGATGAAGAACTACATGTACCACGACGATGACGGAGGATACCGAGTAACCGATCACTGGTGATCGTATTTGAGATCGAGCCTGCTTACGATGGTCAACCAGAAGGCGTATTTGCAGGATAATTTCACAATGAGGACACGGAAGTTCATGCTTGGTCAGAAGTCGAAGGCGTGGGCCACTACCGTTGGCTTCAAGGGTCGATGAACCACTTGCCTCGTGAACAACAGTTGGAGTTCATAGCAGAAGTTATGTGACAGATCTTCATTTTCTTGCGTTGGTACTGATCAACAACATTGCTTCTCAGAGACCTCGAAGCTAAAGGAGGAGGTGATGTTAGGGACATATTCCTTAGAACTTTCTAGAGAGAAGTTTCTAGAACCTTCTAGAAAACAAGCCTCTGGAACCTTCTAGAAGAGAAGCCTCTGGAACCTTTTAGAAAGAAGTTTCTAGAAGCTTCTAGAAAGGAAGTCTCTGGAACCTTCTAGAAGAGAAGTTTCTAGAAGCTTCTAGAAAGGAATCTCCTGGAACTTTCTAGAAGCTTCCTAGTTAATAGAAGTAGCTCGAGAAGTTTCTAGAACCTTCTAGAAAGGAAGCCTCTGGAACCTTCTAGAAGCTTCCTAATTAATAGAAGTAGCTCGAGAAGCTTCCTAAGTAGGAGTATATATAGGGATCGAGGCTGAAGAGTTCTTCAGTCTCGACAACACATCTCTTGGAGTTCTAGCTCACTTTTCTGGTGTTGTTCTTGTACTCATCTGTTTAATCTAGTTCTGCCACTTCTTCTTGAACTTCTTGTAAGATTTCAAGTCTTTTTTTTGTGTCCGTGACACTTCTTTTATAGATGTAAGAATAGTACCTCAATGATTTATATTAAAAATATATAAGATTTCTATCTTAAGAGTATTAACAAGCTTCTGAAGATGTATAGTAATTACAAATCTATTCTCATTTTTGTTGAGAATAGCATCTATAAGTTTTTCTTCTATAGACAATTCAAATAAATTCAAATTTTAAATTAGAAAAACTAATTTATAACTTCTAATATCAAATGAAAATTTTCACAATGAAGGATAATCTTCTTTCTTTAAAAAAATAAATATTAAAAATTATAAGTTAGTTTCAAGGTGGGTAGTTTACAACCTTTAAAACTTAATAATAGAATTAGAATAATTTATACATTTTTAGAACAAAATAAGAACAATAAATTAGGACTCTTGTCAAACTATCAAAGGTATAAATTTTTAAAAACTAGAAGATCAATATACTCTTGTGTCACTTGAAAAGACTTAAAAATGCTCAAAGATAGTATAATATTAAACTAGAATGGCTATTATCAAAAACAAAAAGATGAAAAAATCAAAAAACAAGATTAAGCACTAGAAAAGAATTGAAAAGAATAAAAAAGGCATTACTCTTGCCTCCATATATACTATCTAATTAGAAGCTATGTGAAAATATTCTATAAGACCTTGAACATGTATCAAAATTCTAAGATACATGCCTTAATTTTCAAGATAACTTTTTTATATGTATACTACATAGTTAGTTTATTTCACAAGCTATCAACACATGCAATACATGGCTAATCAATTATAAAAATGTATAAAGCCAAAGCCATATCTATGAAGCTACTAAAAACTTTTTCTATAAGATATTATTTAAATTTATTTATTTTTATCTATTTCTATATAATCATATAAATAATTATTAAAATAAATATATATATGTCCATAATAAAGCCATATTACATTGTTCTATATAATATCCAACATGTGTCTAACTCGTAAGACACATGTATACTTTGTAAGATAAGTTTCTTATATTTGTGCTACATAGCCTACTTATATGTCAAGTTTAACATGTGTAGTACGTGATCAACATATTGGCCAAGTTTTTAACCTATCAATCAACTATAAATATGTTTAAAATTAAATATTTATTTATAAAGCTTTTAAAAAGATTTTTTACAAGATATTATTAAATTTATTTATATTTTTTTTTTACATAGCACTTTTTATTTAGGTAATTATATGTAATCATGATAAAAAACTAAACTCATAACAATTCAATTTAGAAGGCATATAAATATAAGTTGTTCTTTTTAAGATTGAAGCTATATCCATTGGTGAATACACTAAGAAATTTGATTCATTACAAAAAAATTATTTGCTATATAATATAATAATATCTATTTTAAAATTAGACAAAAGCCTATTATCAATCTTAATACGTGGATTCAACAAGTGCCAAATTAGACCTATACCAATCCACAAGGGAATTGCCTCTATATCCTCTCTTCTCCTCTCTTTTCCTCACTCCTTCTCCTTCTTCCTTTTTCTTTTGAAGCTCTTTACAAATATTATTAAAAAAATCAATAAAAAAGCCCTTCAAATTAATTTTGTATATAAAGAAAATATCAACAATCTCTACCTTGTCTTATATTTATTAGCTATATGAAGTATCCTATCTATATATCTTTTACTATATTTCTCATATGTATCTATGTCAAATATTAATAATATCTTTGATATAATAATATTTTATATCTTTATTTTTTTTTTTAGAATAAAATACTTAATTTTTAATTAAATATATTACACTCTATTTATCACAACATAATAGAATCTAATTTGACAATTGACTAATCTTACTCTTCAATCAAACAACTCCTTGAGTTGCTTTTATTGCAATTATATACTTATTTTTAGTAATTGAAAGTGATATGGTTGGCTTCCAATTTATAAGTCTACCAAGTAGTATAAAGACATATCCTATAAGAGACTTTCTTTTGTTCAAATTTCTAATAAAATTAGCATCAATAAAGCCTATAATATGTTTATGTCTTTTATAATTTTAATCAAATAAAATACTAATATTTACAATATCCTTTAGATATTAAAGAATCTACTTTACAACTTTTTAATATTTTTTTTTATGGATTTTCCATATATATGTTTACTACACTAACTCTAAATGAGATATCTAGTCTAATGTAAACTATTACATACATAAGATTGTCTATAGCACTTGTACTAAGATTACAAATATAGACTTTCTCTCTTGCTCACATTTAAGATATTGTACTAAACAAAATTTGAAATAAGAAGCTAAAAGAGTACTCATTGTCTTTGTATTTTTTATGCCTAAATACAATAATATCTTAGCAACGTACTTCTCTTGTGATGTTTGTAAGCTATACATGTTTTTGACTTTGTAGATATCAATGCCTATTATCTTTTTTGAAAATTCTATGTCTTTCATATCAAATCTTTATTCAATTGATTCTTTAGCATAGTAATATCAGATCTCTTTTAAGTTGTAATTAGCATATTATCTATATAAAATAATTAGATGATATAAATATATAGAGAGACCTTTTTTAGTTGTTTAAAATAGACACAATTATCAAACTCACTCTTGTTGTAGCTTTGATTTATTATAAAAGCATCAAAACGTTTTTATCACTATCTAAGACTTTCTTTTAATCCATACAATAATTTCTATAACTTGTACATCAAATTCTTCTTCCTAAGGACTTAAGAGCCCTCTGCTTGGTTCATATAGTTCTCTTCTCCTTGTAAAAAAGCTATAATAACATCTAATTGCTTTAATTCTAGGTCATAGTATGCAGTAGTATGTAATAGAACTCAAATGGAAGTGGTTTTCAGTATGTGAGAGAAGATTTTGTTTAAATCAATACCTTTTTGAGCATATCCTTTTGCTACGAGTCTAGCATTGTATATGGTTTTGTCAGCCTCAACATGTCTTTCCTTCATCTTGTATACCCATTTACAACCAATTGCCTTCTTTATAATAAGTTATCTCACCAAATCCCAAGTCTAGTTCTTACAAAGAGACTCCCTCTTTTTCTATTGTTGTTTTCTGTTTTTAATGACATTTGTCATCCATAGCTTCTTTTAATCTTTTCTCATATCATGGCATTGATTTTAGAGATTGCAATGACCAGCAACAATTTACCTCCAATCGAAAACGAATACGTTTAGACGAATGAATGAATACCATCAATGTACGAAGAGCACTTTCGAATGGATGAAGAAATCGGATGAACGACATTCGCCTGCCCTAGTTTGCCTCGTGTCTGCCGAACATAGGCTCGGGATCGGTTTGGATGTAGCCCTGGTTGTTAGGCAAATCCAACATTGCATCGCAGAACCTCTCGTACTCTTTCTCTGTCACCTGATAGCCCCTGATCCCGGAATGATGGTGTTCCGTGCATTGAAAGGGGGGAGGGGGAGTTAGGATTTAGGATACTGCGAGCTTGCAAGAGGGAATTTGAGTAGTGGATTAGAAGCCGGGGCGCATTATCACGATCAGCCCTACTTCACAGAAGAGCGCGAGGTAGGAAGAGCAGTTGGAGCTGTGCTTCGCTTGAAACTAGGTGCGGAGCTCATTCCACGCTAAGCGCCACGCCGCGCATTACCGGAGCATACAGCAGCAGCAATGTGGATTTACAGAAGAAGCGCAGTTGCAGTGGAATCTGCATCTGCGAGTGAAGGTGACTGGTGTGCTTGCGGAGAGGTAACGTAAACCTCATTTCGAGCGGTTTTCATGGATAGGGTTTTGAAATTCAGCTTTTGGGTTTAAGCCAGAGTTGCCTGCACATAGGGTATGGAATTGGCTGTGTCTTGCTTGTCCGGACCTAGCGTTGATAAGCGACACAGAGTTTATGCAAGCGCGCGATCGAGGTAGCCCATGAATGCTGCGATTAGAGGAAAAGCGGTTGCAGCTGCGGTGAAATTGGGTAGGACGAGTATGTCGACATCTTCATCTGCACCGAAGAGGACGTATACACCGCCGAGCAGGTGATGGTGATTTCCTCCTAATCTTTTTTCTATTTTTACTGGCGTTTTGATATTTCATGCCCAGCAAACGCTTTCTTTCTCACCTCATTATCATTTCAGAACACGAGTTTCTTTCTCTTCATGTCGTAAATGAGTTCAAAGTTTGCATATCATCATGTTTGAGAATGTGATCGAGAAATTTTGGCATTTTTACCATCCTTGTATGGTTGAACAGAACTCGATTAACACGAGGCGAAGATAGTTTAGTGTAATGTTACTTAAACGATTGAGTGCTATTAAACAGGTGAATCTGGAGGACGTATCTAGAGTACTATAGTATTGTAAAGTGGCTAAGCAACATGCCGGATGCAAGTTGTATGATACATAGAAAAAAGTATTGTAACAATGGCTATCTAGTACCATGAATTCCGCAAGCCTGTGGCAAAGTGGTAAAACAACAAAACGCTCCTGTCCAGTGATCCTTAATGCGAATCAAACCATATCTATTCAGAGGCAGAGAGGATGACATGAGACCGAGCTCCGGACTCACTGTCTAGGGGCAGGTGGAGCAGGCAGTGGCGGCTGGCTGTAATAGGGCTGTTGGAAGGGCTGATAAGCTGGAACACACCCAGGAGAAATAGGCTGTGGAGGCATACCCATAGAATGCTGGTTGATCATCATACGACCTTGAAGGGGAGGTGGTGGTGGCGGAATTACGGATTGGTATGCGAAAGGCAAAATAGTGCCAGAGCTACTCAAGTATTGAGGCTTAGGTGGTGGGAGTGGATATGAAGAGAAATCAGTAGCATTTGTATCTAGCCTTGGCTTCTTCTCTAACGGGGGGAATGCTCCATCTGAGCCGTTGTTGGGAGATAACACTGGACCTTGATTTGATGCTTCTTCTGCGGCCAGTGAAGACAACGCTGACGTTAACATAGCCGATGAGGAAGGACTGGCTGTCAGCTTGGCTGCAACCTCGGCAGCAGCCACCTTTGCCGCAGACGAAATGGGCTTAGGGCTGATGTGATGAATATCTGCTGCCTCATTGAAAGTATTAGTAGTAGCAACCATGTCTTCAGAGCCGGATGGACTGGGCGAAGCACTCACTCGACCATCGTCTTTACTTCGCGCTGGCACCTGGCTCTCGTTCAGGTGATCTATTTCGCAATCTCTTTCAAATCCATTGAAAGGGGCTTTCACACTAAGAAACTTAACTGTCGATTCAGGGCTTCCGTTTCGGCTGTTCAAATGGTGACGAATGCTTCCAGCTTGTTGCAGTTGAGCTTGAGCTATCTGCAAAGGCACCATATCCTCCTTGAGTCGATCGACTCTGTCTAATTCCATGCAAAAGCATTGTTCAGCCTATGTTTGAGGAGAGCTAAATGCTCATTATTTGCTAAACGTACATCTATATCCTAACCCTGCATGCCTAGATGCCTTTCGATACTGTAATTTAAGAAGCTGGATCCATCACCTCTCTAACTGTAGGTAAGGGGGATGGTGAATTACGATACCGATCGTGTAAAGAATCGCATTATCGACTACGGGTATAAAAATTACAGACCTGAAGATGCGTCCTGACTTGCTCCAATTTGTTTTCCTGTGACATGTGGAGAAATTATGAATGCAACAAATCGTTGAGTTGTACGACTATGAGTGGTGACTCAACATACAGAATATCACTGTTGACAGAGTTGTACCAAAAAAATTGAAAAAGGAAAAGGAAAGAGAAAGACACACCCTTACCTGCATTTAGGTTTAGAAATGAGACTACCTGTTCAAACAAAGCATCCTTCAAGTGGGAGCAGAGCATTTCATGGCTCACTTCACATCCTTCAAGCTGTTCTACGCACTGCCTGATGACTGCTTGTTGCTCCAGCAGCTCATCGGCTATGGACATCTGTATACTTGGGCTTGCTAATAATTGCGACATAAAAGGAAGTCAGTTGAGTGTAACACGTTGGTTCCGTGAATGTCAGTAAAGTTCAGTGCAAGTACACACGATAACCGAAACAAATGAAATAAAGCGGAAACGGCACGGGGTATTGTACGATTTCTGGCCAGACAAACTAATCTTAAGAGGCAACTTCAGAACTGATTCAAGACAAGTTTGCTAAGGATCATCCGAGAATGGTTCTGAATCAATAAATGAAAAGATGACAACAGATCTTTGAATTCGGTTGAAAACGAAGATGGAGAGTGTTACCATTTCCAGCGATAACCCCAACCTCTTTCTCCAGGGTTTCGACGTGCGACATAGCCGCAGAATATTTTGACAAAGCCCCATATTCATCTGCAGTTTTTTCGCGAACTGCATGAAAGGACCTTGCCACTCGTTCCAGCATGCTCCCTTCAAACATCTTCCGCCCGTCCCCAAAGAAGGCCGTTTCAATCAGAGACCAAACATGGAGTCCAGAGAACGCAAAATTATCGAGGATTTCCGTAATCTACCTCTCGGTGGGAGAACTCTGCTACCAGTCGTAGACATCAGTTGCAAACTTTGAGTGCTGCACAAGTGGGGGTCGTATGTTACCTGATACGAAGGAAGGGTAAAATGCTTTGATTCATTCGCAGACAATAGAGGTCTTTTGCCCAAGAGTTCTTCACGAAGACCTTGAGCACGAGATCCAAAGACCCTTCTTTCCTCCCAAATATCTACCTGAGATCCCTCGCTCATCACCGGTCAGCACCCAAGCTACATCACGACCATACATGATTGGGAAAAGGAGTAGTATAATTATCCAAAAAGGTGAGAGACAGCGCCAGAATTGCCAGCGGCCACATAATTAAGGGGAGAATATTCTTCAACATATAAACTGATCAAACGGACTCTTACCAAACGGTAGGCCACTTTCTTGACAGAAGTATCTCCAGTGTCAACAACGTCCCGAAGAACCCAAGGCAGCACAGTCCAAAACTCGTTCACAAATTCAGGACCCTTGCGCCTGCTGTTCTGCAAAATGTCATTGGCCAAGTAAAGAAATGGCACACGCTGCTCCCTTGGTGCATCGTGAAACTTCTTCGCCCATGTCTCCACGATTTCTCTGGCCTTCTTACGGTGAAATATACACCAATGTGAGAGTGCTGCACGCAGTCAAGGATTGAACAATACAGAGATATACTTCATGTTGTATAATCAAGGCTAGAATGCGCAACTGTTCACGCTAAGACGTCGCATAAACGATGAAGACTAATTTTAGTTTGGAAAGAATTTACGATGTTTACAAGATACGAGGATACTTTCAATGCTCTGCTGCGAAATATTCAGTTTAGTCAGCTTTTCAGCCAATGTAGCTCCAGTAAATGCCCCACCGGTGGTAGTTCCCTCTATAGCCGTCATTGCATCCTATGTTCAATGCTCTCCCAATCATCAACCTAGAAAAATCGAAGCACCGACGTGATTCTTGGTGAGAATGCTGGCTGTGATTTTTCAGCTTTAAATAGAGGTAATTACTTAATATTCGTCAATGCTTTATTTAATATTGTTATCTTGTGTTGGAGGACAAAGCCTTTCCCCCGACAGCGAGTCCCTCTGCAACTTGGAATTGGAAAGCAAACTGAGGCATTCCGACCCTGAGAATTTGGCTTTTTATTTTTCATCTTCACCAAGTTTTTCCCACCTACCATGTATTTTGAAGACTCGTTAAAAATCGTCCATGATTGATCAAAAACTGCAGCCGAAATTGCGACCCCAACTACATCCACAAGAAGAGTATCACCTAGCTTGATCTAGCATATTTAAGAGAACGTTTAATAATCCCCCTCCTTCAACGTATCATGCTTCCCAGCGTAGCACTAAGTACATTGCAACGCACACTGAAATCCCTACAATCTCATAGCTTCAGGACTTGCAATGTCGCAAGGCCGTTATCTTCAGGCAAACGGCTTCTTGCAATTGTTGTCAGGTATATATGTAGATAGATAGGTATAGAAACTTCGCCAAAAAAGCTTAAACGACAGACGCAACGTTAAGTGCAGTGTCATCGTGAGCGTGCTCCATTCATGCTTCTCATTGAACTACTTTCAAAGTATCCCGTCTCAAGGCCGTAATTCACAGTATGTGACGGAAAAGAACCAGGAAGCCAATGACTTCCCCTAAATCACCAAAAAATCAATGCTTCTAATGCCCCCAATTATCCCTATCACCGCAACAGGCAAGAAACCTCCGTGAAAACCCTCACCAAGACCCAAGGGTAAAGAAACCTTATATATATATATATATATATATATCAACATAACGTCTCAAAAACCAACCTAATAAAATAACACCCGATTAGCGTACCTGTAACAAACAAGATTCAACAGATGAGTCGGTACAAGCAGCACCAACTTGCTGGTGCTGGTCTCGGAGCAGCCCTCGACCCAAGAAACGAGCACCAAGCCCCGTCAAGAGCTACAACGATGGCCCGACCCTTTTGCATGCATGTATGTATGATGTTTTTCAACCCCGCTACAACCCACTATCCGCACCACTTCACCAATTCGGGCGATTGAGGGCTCGTTGGGAAGCTCTCGAGTCGCTCGTCGACACAGTGTGGCACAGGCGTGGATCCCGTTGCCTAAAGCGCGGCTCCAGCCGAGTACAAACCTGTGGGCTCCGCGTCGGTAAAGGCTATACTGTCTTTGGGTGGTTGTGTTTGCTGCCGCCCCGCTTCTACCCCCCCGTCGGGGTCCAATGATCTCGGAGCCCGGGAACGCTTGAACGTGCCCGTTACCCACTCGGGAACCATCGTGCGTTCCCCGTTCTCTCAGCCGAGACACATGTTGGCGTATTAGCTTGGGAAGAATATTCTGTCCTGCGTGGAATATTCTCTTATGGATTCTTATAGAGGTTGTTGTTGTTGCCAATGTGTGCATCCATTTTAACATTAGTTAGGCTGATTCTCGTACCCTACCAAGAATATTGTTTGCATTCAATTCCCTTTTTATTTTTTTTTTCATTTCATTCATTGAATTTTGTATCAAATTATAGTACTTGAAAGGTGTGTGTATATATATTATAATGGGTATTTGTATATGGACATTTTGCAACATAGAGCCATTGTATAACTAGAGATGATGAATCTTAGTCTCAAAAATAAAAATTGGGTGTTTGATTACAGCAATACTAGTGTTACATTTATTTTAGAGTTACATTTATCTGTAGTGAAAGAATATTTAGTTTCGATGTTAGAATGACTGAATTAGAATTGTGTGTCAAATAAAGATATAAAAGTACATATTACAGTGTGGAGGATGAAAATACTTCAAATGCTTATTTTCCATGAGGGGTTGAAATATAATGAAATATGAAGTAGCGGGAAAAAAATTATATTGAAGGAGTGCGATAAATTAAAAGCTTTCTACTCAATTTGATATAGATATGTCTTTTGACACAAACAAATATTTGCATATCAAAAAATGCCAAAGAGCAAGAGATATAATTATGTGTTTCAGAGCAATGCAAAAGCATTGAAATGACCTTTTTCATGATACAAGACAGCTTGAAAATTACAAAGTAACCCTATTTAAGAAAGTAGTTGACAGGACTAGAAAATGTTCCGTCCTAGCCTGTTGTTTATGAGCATCTAATAAAAACCTTTTAAAAGTTATAAATTATAAACAAAACAACAAAAAATCAAATAAATAGAGGTATTGCTTAAAAAGCTTTACATGACCAAAACCAAAAAAAGTCATGATGACAAAAGTATTTATAAAATGATAAGATTTTGCCAACACAAAATTTATAAGTCTAGTTTTTAGAGAGCTAAAATATTTCTTAATAAATTTAAGTTATCATGTTTATTTGAGTTTAAATGCAACAAAATGTTCTCTTTTCAAAATCTCTCTCTCTCTCTTGCTACATATATATATATATATATATATAACAGTGAAATATGCTTTTGAAAAAATCACCCATATACTATCATTTCTTTTACTGAAAGTACCTTGAATTTTCATTTTGCCTATGGTTAAAGACGATGTTAGTTTAAAATTGAAACATTTTCACACGTAAGCTAATACTGTAACTCACTTGAATACTTTCTTAGAAACTTTAAACAATTCACTCAATTGTGCATTTTTATTCATGTCTGTGTTCCACTCACTTCTTACACTTCTCAAATCATAACTTAAAAATCATTCTATTTTTCCAATGTTGATTTAGTATATATATATTATTTGAAATATTATTCTTTTACTTATTTAAACAATGCATAATTAAGAAATGAGTCTATACTTTGTTTCAATAGTTTATAGTATGTGTATTTTGATAAATAATGTGGTGCATACTACTGGAGGTTTGAGATGCCTATTGATATTCCGACACAGTCAAAAAAATAAATTTAAAATAAAAATAAAAATGTACATATTTGATCATGCAGTCTAAGATTATGAATGACATTTAATTAGATATTTTAATCAAGATGTCATCCAGAGTGGTATCTAAATAATAACCCTGTAGTCATTATCTTGGAAATTCATTGAACTTTTGATGTTACCGTGTTCATGGTTTAATAAATGTTTAAGTGTAAGGTGGTGTCTAAAAAATGGATTTTATTTTAAAGATGAATCAAATAAAAAATTATTTAAAAGATGCCTAACCGAATAAATTTTTATTTTTTTACATTAGATGCGACATTTTTAAGAAGCTTCTGTGGTGTAAGCCTAGTCTTCAAAATTGTGAATCCTTCCATAACGAACAGACTACGTATTTTTTCTGTTCTTATTATATTAAATATAATATTTTTAATGAATTTTTTTTTTTTTTTTTGATACAATGATCCAACAAAGTGTATCGAAATGATGGTCAAAATCTTTCAAATAACACTGTACAACTATAATTGAGGAATGTATACTAATTATTGTCACATTCACAGAATGAACATAGACACACTAAGAATTCCCAAGTTGAATCAAAAGAAGTAGCATATTTTGTCAGTGAGTTTTTTTTTTTTTTTTTTTTTTTTTTGTAAAGAAAGAAGCATGTATTTCAATACAGTGCATCAATTGTATGCACACGATGCACACACAAAGCAACAATAACTTGCTTAGTAACAAAGCATCTCCTTTGACTATGTCAAGAGCGTTTTTTCAAATCATTCAAAATCAATGTTCCTCCCTCATCATTTTCTCATCCGTATTCACTTCTCTTGTTATTTGCCTACCACTTACCCTAATGCTAAGAAATCAAAGGAGGAAAAAGAAAAAAGAAAAAAAGAAAAAAAAGTGGAATAAACCCTAAAAGCACAATGCTTCAGCTAAAAAGGTTGGGAACAAGTGTTGGGAGCCGCAAGGACGTTCGAAGAAATCACTCATCGCAAGTGTAAAGCAGAAGAAGACGAGGGTTGGGTGCAAATCCGACGTGGAAGCATCCCCGGTCGCCGATCGGCTTTAGCCGCCTGGAATACTTAAACGCAAAAAGAGTACGTCCAGCTACGTCAAGGAAAGCGACGACGACGACGAGAGTAAACGGGGCAAACCAAGTTTTCATCTCCATGGTAAAAAAGCGCATCAGAGCAGGAAGAGAGGTGAATGGAGGGAGAGAGTTACCCCCCCCTCACGCTGGGGCTGCCTGGCCGGTAGAAACCGGGCCCGCTACAGAAGCAATCCAAGGGCACATACACACTTATACTCTCTTATACTCTCTCTCAATCGCTCTCTCTCTAACTTAGTGTAGGGGAGTAGAGTGGAAGCGCGGCTGCAGAGCCCCAGCGCCGTCGTCTTCTTCTTCATCCAGTAGGGAGGTGCTCTTGCTTGCTTGCTCTCTCGCAAGGGTTTTGTTTTCGTCACCCTGGGATCGAGCTCTTGGCGTCTCCATTGATCGTCATCGGGGAGCTCCGTCTTGCGGCGTACACTTCGGTGGTGTTGTATTGCCGTCACCATTCCAGGGGCTGTAATTTGGTGGGAAACCGCACAGTGTCGCGCCTGGTGAGGTGGATCGGGCAGGCGCGGCTGGGATTGGGGGGTGAACTTGGTTTGTTTCGTTGCCGGGATTGTGGTGAGTTCCGGCGGAGGTTTGGAGGCAGATGTTTTTTTTTTTTTTTTTTTTTTTTTTTTTTTTTTGTCGTGGAGGGATTCTAGGCTTGTTGTTGTGGTGGTGTGGCGGAATTGGCTTTGGTAATGTGCGACGGCGCGTGGTGAGAAGGATTGAGGGAGGTGACTTGAGTTGAGTTGAGGTGGTGAACCTGAATGAGATGAACTGTTGATAAGGTTTGTTTGGCGCAGGGAGGGGCTGGGAAGAGAGGTTTTCGCTCCTAGACCAGTTCTTTTTTATTATTTTTTGTTTATTCTTATTTTTTGGTGGGAGATGTGTCGTTGTGGAGAGCCATCGTGAGGGCTGCTGAATGGCATCCTACCTAGGTAGGGTTTTACTTTACCATTCGTTGAAATTCCCATTGTTTTCAGGTTGCACAAACGTCGGCGGAAGGTCGAGGAGATCGCAACTAGAACGAAAATCGATTCAAGGAATTGTCGAGTTCACAATGCTAGGTCAGTGCTAGGTTATGTCACGGGCTTTAACAATTCTAGCTTGGGACTGTTGCACGATTTACTTGGAATCAGTCGGCGAAGACTATGGAGTCGTAGCCCTTTGCTTTCTCTCTGTTGTGTAGGCGGTTGTTTCGCGTTTACTGAATAAATTTTCATCGGTTGAATGTTGAACTGACTGGGGTTTTCCGTGTTGCTGCCCAGGGCGCTATCAACTGAGGCTCTTTTATTGATCTAGTTAGTGAGCGGAGAGGTATTCTGCTCAGTCCAGGTGTTCGTAGTATGCGCTTCCATGAATATTTCTTAACTTTTGTATGAGAATAGTCACATAACTCGGGAGACTGCCTGGTTCATCTGTTTATGCTTCTCGGCTATTGAATAGGTTAGTTGCCATTTTTTGATCTCTTCGAGTTCTTGAAGGGCAGAGAAGGAGTGATTAGCTTGAGAGGGCTGGTCGTATTTTGCTCCAATGGAAGGCGCACCTGGAGGAGATGCAGAGCTTGTGTGTAAGACGCTCCAGGTGGAGCACAAGCTTTTCTACTTCGATTTGAAAGAGAACCCACGTGGTCGGTATTTGAAGATTTCTGAAAAGACTTCGGGTTCTCGATCCACTATAATTGTTCCTGTTGCGGGCATAGTCTGGTTTGTGGACCTCTTTAATTACTATGCTAATGGCGAAGAGGAACTCTCAAGCAAAGAGCTTCAGCTGGACACGAAGGTACTGACTTGACTGCGTCGTTATTGTTTTAACCGACTCATTGCCTTATCCAATCACAAAAGATAGCAACCTAGTTATTGCTTATATCGGTAGACAATTATATGATGTCCATCGAATGTTTTGATGCATAAATCGCAGTATTTAATGCTGAAAGGTAACTGGTCGTCTTATGTGCCCAAGGGTACGAGTGCATGGATTGATTTCTTGTAATCGGACACTTGTTTCAATCCGGAAATGCTCGCTCACTATCCTTGCCAGTTTAGTTATTCGATGTTTCTTTCACTTGATTTCTGGTTTGTGTATTTCTCTTACATCGAGATGGCTAATGTCTTTCCAGGTTTTCTACTTCGATGTTGGGGAAAACCAGAGGGGTCGTTTCCTGAAAGTATGCACATCTCATCATTATCTTTTGATGGTTCTTTACATACTGTAAACAGTTTACATTACGGCTTTTCTAGAACTTCTTGTTAGACTAAGGCTGTTGTTGGTGACTGCGTTCGTTTTCTGTTCCAGAAGGCATACTTTGAAGGTCTATTTCGACACGATTTGATTTTCTAAATTTGGTAGACACATTTGAAGCTACTTTTCTTGTTGCGAAGTATTTGGTGTTCCTGTGAGGAAAGTGAACGGAAATGCTTGCTATGTAGGTATCTGAAGCTTCAGTGACTCGTAATCGCAGCACTATCATTGTGCCTGCTGGCAATGCTGCTGATGAAGGTTGGTCTTCTTTTCGCAACATACTTGTCGAAATACATGAAGCCTCCCAACTGCTCCTACCACCATCAGCTAGCTCTGGGCCCCTTCAGGTTCTTGTTGTTATCCTATTCCATCATTTTAAAGCAGTTATGTAGGTTTCTGGTTAATTTTATCTTTTTCAGTGCCTTCTAGAGGTTGTTAAGCTGGAGCAGTGGACGCCAAGCGATTGTCACTCTCTCATCCGTGCACGAGTCTAGATTTCTACTTAGGTTCTACATCTATAGCCTTTCATATCGAAGGAGTGCAATTTTAAATTTATTCTGAAGCTTGCATTTTGGAGGCTCGTTGAATTAATTGAATCATTGTATCTTTAGTGGTACGACGCCAGAATGGCTGAATCAAATCTTTCGTGGTAGTGATAGTGTTCGCGAAAGCAAGCGAATTGTAGCTTGGTTGCAGATGATGAATTATTCAATTCCTGGAATAATGGTTTGTGCTGCAATCTAAAATATCCTGAATTATAATGTTATTCTCCGGTGTAGCAAGGAGGTATTTTGCAGGAGCACATGGGTGTCATGGCTGATAATGTTGGTGCTGGGTACCTTCCCAGTACCTCCTCTCCACCTGCTTCAGCTAGCACTGTCCCACTTCCTGAAGTGGGCTCTCCTAATGTGGCTTCATCGGGAGGAGGCTTGGCTACTGCACGTGTTATCAGAGCTGAGCAGAAGAAATTCTTTTTTGATCTTGGCAGCAATGCTAGAGGCCAGTATCTTCGGATTTCGGAGGTTAGGAAGGGTGGTTTTTTAGAGTACACTTATCATTTACATAGTGCGATTTGTAATTTTTTGAATGAAATAATTGGTTTTCAAGTTTTCTAGTAATGCTAGACTGAATTCCGTTCTCGAAGAATTTTGTGGTGTTATTCAATGATCGGTACTGATATTACTGCAGCATAAGTGAATCGATTTACAGATATTCACATTAGTTGGCAGTGAATACTTGCCATTGCTTGATCAACCAGTGTTCGCGTTTAATCCAAAAATTGGTTCTTGATTATGTACATGCATATCTTTGATATTATTGTGTCTTTTATGGTTTTCAGGTCACTGGAGTAGATCGGTCTGCTATTATTTTACCAGTAGCTGCGCTGGAGCAATTTCATGAGACCCTGGGGCAATTTGTCGAGATGGTGAAGAGTCAAGGCCCGATAGGCCCAAATGTAGTGAACGTACGCACTATTGCACCCCCAAGGAAGAGAGCTGAGAGCTAGGGGTAGTGAGTGGAGCTTTCGAGCAGCTTTTAGTTAAGTCAGCATTCAGTTTTCTGGGGAATTCCGTGCTTTGCTGTGAGGAGGCCCCACACACACATGCACTTGCAAAGCTTAAGAGTTCAAGTGTTACAGAGATGCTGTGGCCAATGAATACAGCTCAAGCTCTGGGGATCATTTTGATGTTCATCTGACTCGTTTGATCTGTAACTCTTGAGTTAATGTAGATTCTCACACTGCGGGGGCTCGCTATCTACATGTGAGTGCAGGGGCAACATTTTGCTGATACAGAGACAATTATTTGAGATTGGTGCGGGAGCCAAGTAAGAGCTTCCCCTTTTTGACATTTTTCTATGCAGTTTGGGGTACACCAATGGTTAGGCATTTACATTGGCTTTGACTAAGGAGCTCTCTGGTGCCTTGTGGTTTAACTGGGTTTCACAACATTTTAAACTTGGGCATGTTGCATGACTTGACTGATACACTGTCTACATGATTTTCTACTTTCATATACGGTCTTCCTTTTTTTTTTCTTTTTTTTCCCCAAATCCACGACAATGTCTAGTGACCCTATGTTTTTTTGTGGTGAAACTGGGTAGATTACCTGTGCTGGAGAACTATTATCCTATCATCGCCGATGCACTCCTTGCTCCTGCATACTTTCTACAGCGGGGTGTACTATCTTTTTACCTTTGTAAGAAATTGTACACGAGAGATTTTCCTGGTCTTCTTCTTGCTGAAAGTTTCAGCCCATGCTCTTCTCTGTAAGGATGGCTATGTCCACCTGGTCTATGTTTACTCTTGGTATCTGTGCAGCAATACCTAATTTGTCAGCTAAGACGTGTCCAAAGTTTGTTTTGTTTTGTTTTGTTTTGCGTTTACTTTTTCCAATAAACAGGGTTGTCTTTTTGTATCTCAAGCAAATTGAGTGTAGCTAGGGTTTTAGCATGTAGACAAACATGTTTCTACAAGAGGCTGTAGTCTATAGAGTTATGTGATGAGTATGAATTGCCACTCTGTTGTGTACCCACTGTGAAAGTGAGTCACTGTACCAATTTCTTTATTCAATATATACCCGCCAAGGTTGATTTGCAGTTTAGCATACCTCAAAGTATCAAACTACAGTGAGCGGTGCAATACAATCCAGTTCATACAACTTTTTGTTAGTATTATACATATAGCAAGTCACTCAGCCGTGTGAATGCTAGGGGAATGTTTGTACCTATATCAGGAGAGTCTCCTACTTGCTTTTGATATCAACAGTCTAAGGGTTAGAAATGCATGTCACAGTTCTTTCAGTTTGTACGTCATGCGTTACTTCTGGCTCTAATTTAGGTTCAACATTCCATTTTGGCATACTAATGCAATCTTGTTCCAATATTAAACCTCGAAAACGTATGAAGTCATGCCGTATCCGTTTTAAAAATACATCTCCGTATAGACATATTATTTTGCATTAGAACATTTGCATTTAGACCATTTTAGTACTAGATGAAGTGGATTTTTTCTTATGCATAGTGCATCTCTTTCTCATGGCGCCTTTAAACGTTTTAATCTCCCAACTTCCCTCTGGGAATGAAATCAATTTTAAACGTTTAGTAAATGCGCCCCTTCTTGCTATATAAACCTACAGGAATATTCGAAATTTCAATTGTGTTGTACTGCATAGTGGTTATTCCAGGATTGACATTACTAAAGGTTGGGCTGTCACAGGCCCCTTCCATGCTCCAGAATTTTATAGCACGCGGTCTTACAAGTAGAAATGAAGGTCGAGAGGACCAATTTTATCAAGCTAGAGATGCTATGGAATTTTTTGAGTTGGCTCCAGTATCTATTAAGAGATCAGTATGCACATTGTCCAAAGCAATAGAGTGTTGCTATCTACGATTTATGGTGGCGTAAATGTGAGCCTCCTCGTTGTGAAGGTTCAGGAGCTCATCAGATGGCCAATCAATTTTCTCTTCTTTTCTTTTTTTCCCTCGTCTTGAGCTGGTATAAACTGTGTGAGCCGTAGGGAAGAAATGGTAAGAGCCACTCACCAAAGCTCGAATTCCAGTCAACCTTGATGCAGTAAACGATGGCAGTTGTTGGTACATCTAATGACAGAGGCCTTTGAAAAACAAATAGACCCAGTGGTAGTGCCCTGGCTCGTGTTTCAGGGACCTTCTGATCAGTGGTTACAGGGGGTGAGGGTTCAGTGACGTTAATGAAGGATTTTGTTTTCCTTCTGGGGGGCACCAGTTTCGTCAAATCTTTGACTGCAAATGTCAGCATTGAAAAAGGCCCCACTGTAGCTGTTAGATGCATTAACTGCATCATCGAGATCCCCTTTGGAATCTGAGACCACTCTCTTTTCATTTTTCATTTTTTTTTTTTGACGCAAATAAAGGTTTCCTATATAGCAGGTAATTAGTGTACACTACCTCAGCCAGGTCCGGCCAGGTGGGCTAAGTTACGACCTATGCCTATAAACAAAATTACTGCTGGGGCCAATAAGCTTCCAGTTTGGTTCGCTGTGCTGCCATGAAGCCAGGGCGTTGTTCTTACACCAGTGGCTTCGAAACTTCTGGGCCCACTCGCCCGCAAGCAGTGGTGTGTTTTGCATTCGTTGTTTGGTTTTAACCCATGCATTTCTTCCATAGTCGACTATGTGTAGCCAAATCGTTCGATATAATTTTTCTTCTGCCCAGTGTACTCCATTAATAGCTGTGTCATTCCTCTCTATCCACAACGTCCAGACTATCACCCCTCGGAGCAAAAGCAAAAAGCGACTCACTTCTTTGAAGCTTCTGGGAATCCTGTATGCAAAAATGCAATGCTTCCACGAGGGTTGGAATAGTATGGGGAATGAATTCTGGTTAGTAGCGCCTCGTATTCCACTGTTCCTTCCTACGCGACCCCCGCTCTGTAATACATGGGTCGTGCTTCCACTTACTGCACTCTTCTACCTATCGCTTAGGTCTGTATTTGCGAGTAACTGTAAAATGTAGATCCCCCAATTCCACGCCTTTGCTGCAGAGAGACACTCTCAAAACATATGGAGAACCGTCTCTCGAGCATCCCTCAAGCACACACGGCAACATTGGTCAATATTGCCATCTATTCTCCCTCGCCATGCATTCTCAGCCACTGCTGGGTGCCAAGTAAACCAAAGGAGACCCTCCTTTTTCCTTACTCTCTCTTTGTTCCACGTATTCGCCCTCTTAAGGTTGAAATTTGCAGGTGACATGCCTCCCCATATCTGGGTAACTGTATCTTGAATTGGGTGTCTTTCTCTGAGCAGGGATCGGCCCAGTTTTGCCGAGTATTGCATGCACGGAACTTGGTCCGGCCATTGCAAGCGGTCGGGGTCCCATGTTAGACGATCGATTCGACCGTAACAGAGACGGGAGGTCATTTGGCCTGATTTCAAAGGGACTAATCTAATCCTCTTAAGGATGCCCGCAGCACGAGTTACGGTGTGCTCTCTCTCCCTCTCCCCGTGGTTTTGAAGCCATCGCCTTTCTTTTGACACTTTCGTCAAGCTAATAATCTTGACTTCTTCCTCATATAAAGCGACGTCGAGGATGATCTAGTGAACCGTAGCGTGTGTATCTGCTCGGAAGTGCTGACTGGTTTGCCACACCGACGTGGGTAGCCGAGCGTCTTCGGATGGGAAGAGCCCCACCCACTCCCCCTCCCTTAGTAGCGGTGCTAGACCTACTATGAGCTGTCTCCAGTTTTGACGGAGCCCCTCTATCCAGGAGGTCTACGGTCTTCTTCTGGTACCAGCTTAAGGCGGATTTGGGTTGTTGGAAAGTTCAGGAGGTCCCCATGTTCCCAGAGATCTGCATATTTTTGGAATCCGTTTTCATGTAACATCGCTGCCCTACTCCTGGAGAAACCTGGGCCAATACCATTGGTGTCATTGTGGAACCATACACTACATGTGAGCCGCTCTTAGTAACATGATGGTGGTAAGTAAGTGACTTATGGGAGGAGGGCCTTCCATGTTGTAATTCTATTCCAAACATAGAAGGCCATGTTGTTTGGAATAGAATTACAACATGTAAGTCTTAAGATAGAAAAGCACCAAGTTTATATTTGAAATTGTCCCTATAGAGGCAATTACATCAATATATAAGCTTTAAGTACCAAAGATCACTCAAAATGTGATAAAAATATTCTAAATTCTTATGTATCCTTAAGGTGAAAATTTCTTAAATTTCAATTGTTTATATCTCACAATTAGACTATTCAAACATAATAAATTTTTAAATGAAGTATTAATATAATTTAAACAACTATTACAACAAATTTCAATTGCAAACTTGTTATAGATCTTGAGATACTGCTAAAATTCTAATAATAGCTTCAAATCCTTATTTATATATATCCATGTGAAAATTTCTTCATATCTCACAAATTAAGAAGTCAAATACCATAAAATTTGGTATATAGCTTTTTAACCTAATAATTCATATTTTAATAAATTTTGAGCCAAAAATTCATTGAAAAACTTAAGATATGGCTCCAACCATTACTATCAATAAAACAATTCAGTTATTACTTTTGAATTACATGTGTTGTCTTTAACTCCTTATAACTTAGTTATATAAATTCTAAATATTACAATTTTCTTGTAAAAGACTTAGATCTTAAAAACATCCTTGCGGCCACACCTTAATCTCTAAAGGTATTGTGGAATGCCTTGTATCTTCAAAAGAGCAATAATATGTCTTAAAAAGACACCTTGACTTCAAATGGCTACACTTTCATCACCTCAATTCCAAATTCTTTAAAATTTATGTGTAAATTGTAGTCCAAATCCTAAATCTTATGATCTTTGGTTTGGATTTTTAAATTCTCCTTTTGAAGTTGCCAAAATTCTTCATATGGTTGCAGACAACTCCATGTGAGTCTATTGGATATGGCTTTCAATCAATAGAGATGAAGACCTTCATTCTTTACCTTCATCCATCCATACTTTACTTTCATTCTACCAAATAAGCTTATTAGAGGTTTAAATCTTCATCTTTGAGCTTCAAAATTCTCTTTAATTTTTATATTAAATTTCTAAATCATATGTAATTTAAATATTATAATAAAAATAGATAAACTTCAAAATAATTTTTTTACATCAAATCTCATTAAATTAACCTACTAACCATTTTAATACACATCAATACTTATATTTATATTATATATTTTAGTTAATTTTACATATTATAAATAATTATAATACAATGACAAAGAATAAATGAATATTTATTTTTTTGATCAAAAATTAAAATTTATAAGTTAAAAGTTTATTCTAATTTATAATAAATAAAATAAATATGGAAATCTTAAAAAAATTAATTCTTAAATAAATTTTAATCAAATCACTCTTAACATCTTTAAATTACTCAAGTATGAGATAAAATGAACCTCTATTAATTAGAATTTATCCTAACTCACAACAACTAAATTAACTATGCAAAAATAATAAATTTTAGCTATTATTTTACTAAATCCTAAATAAATCACTTTTTATTTTTTTAAAATATCTAAGTTATTAAATATTCAAAGAAATAATGAAATAGTTATTGATTTAAATAAAAAAGAAAGAATATTGAAGCAATGCAAAAATTAAAGGCATTATTGTTAATCCCTCTAATTTTAAGAAGAATTGATTAGAAGTGTAATAAATAAATAATACTTATTATAGATACTAATCCAATTATCAAAGACATGAACTAAAAGATGATGCATAAACAATGAAATCTATATCAAAGAAAGAGTGACAAAATAGAAATAAAGAAGTGCATATATTAAAAAAAATAGAAAAGGCTTATTGCCAAAAGACAAGAAAACTTAAGACTCTTGAAACTAGACTAGAAGCAAGAAATGAATTGATAAGAGTGAAGAGTGCTTCATTCTTGTCTCTATATATACTATCTAACTAGGAGCTATGTGGCAATATTCTATAGGACCTCCAATGTATGTTGACTTTGTAAAATACATGCCTTGACTTATAAGGCATGTTTTTCTATGTGAGGGCCATATAATTAGCTTGGTCTTCAAGCTAACAACATGTGTGGCACATGGCTAATTTGTTGACAACGTTTCTAATCCAAAAAATC